CAGCAGGAAAGAAATGGGTGGGCAAGGACAAAGAGTTTTACACTTTAGGGAGTGTTTCTGGGTAAATCTCCACTGTTTTTTTTCAGCCAGGTTTGAGGATAGGAAATGGGGAATTTGGCCTGGGACACCAGCACAGGTGAGAGGCATTTGCAGCCTGTGGGAAGGCCCAGCACGGAAACCTGGGCAGCCTCCCTCTCTCCCCTGTGCCTGGGCGTTCATCTCATGGTTAAAGCTTCACGCAAGACTGTGGGGAAAGGATACGAAGGCAGGAGCGGGGTGTGCTGGCAGATAGTAGAGTGCCTTCACAGACGGGGATTTACCTGGCTGCAGTACTGCACAGTGTGGTTGGTGGAGCCATGGGGCTCCTTCTTCCACCTTCCCCAGGTACCTCTGGCTTTCACACACCTCATCAGGGCTCTGTTCACTTGATGCCATCCTCCTCTCTCAGCCTCAGTGCTGCCTCGGGTGTGATTCCTACCCTTGGTCTGGCCAGCTGGTGATGGGACACAGTGGATGTGTTGCACTGTTGGCCGCGCCTGCATCCCTCTTGCGCCGTGGTCTGCTTTCCTCCCAAACAGACTGTTGGTCTTGCTCAGGTCAAACAGACCCTCTGAATCACCAAAAACCAAGCTGGGAGGGTGCAAGTCTGTCCACCCACCTGCACATGGCAGGATCGAACCTGCTTAGGTCCTTCCCGGCTGGTATGGCACTGACTTAATCTCAAAAACTCTCAGTTGAGTTGAGGACACCCTTTCCCCACCCAACCTGCAGCAGTGTGGCTCCCTGATGGAGAACTTTTCCCAACGCCCAGCCTAGATCTCTCTTGCTTCAGCTGAAGCCCATATTATCTCACAAAACCAGGCTGGACTGTGGTGAAAAACCTGATTTCTGGTCTCCTGGACCATGCCAGTCTCCTGGAGCAAGCTGTGAGCTTGCCTAGGTCAGTAAAGAGACAGGGAACCAGTTTCCCAGGAGCAGTGTCTGTGCCGTAAGGGTGATCTCATACAGCTGTGCCAACAAAGCAAACCAGTGACCCAACAGCTATACTGTGCTTTTGGCCCAACAGAAGAAAAAAAATCGTTGCTGCTTTGTTGTCATTTCTTGGCCAGAGCAAAGGCAGGAGGGGCAGGCGTGACATGCACACGGTTGTGCACAAGAAAGGAGTATCTCAGCAACTTCTCCCAGTAGGAATGCAAACCGGTGGACAACACAGCTGTGTCTCGGTGCTGGTGGGATCCGGGGTCTTGGCTCTCCCTGCAGCAATTTTGCTTCTTGGGCAAAGACCCCTTTCTCCTGTTTTTTTCAATCCTCTCTACCCCAAAGCTAGGTGGTTGACTGTCTTTACAACTGCTCTTCTGATAGTTAGAGCTGCAACACTTGGTCAAATGCTCTTTCACCCCTTGAAATCTGGGTGTTTGTTGTTTTCTGTCTTCTTTTTGTCTTCACAAAACTGTATCCAGGCATGCTGCCCAGGCAGAATAACGTGTCGCAGGAGGCAAACCTCTGCTCTAATGCCTTTTTAGACCAGGTCGTCTGTGACCTGAGCTGGCCTCCATTGTTCTTTTGATTATCAGGGGAGGCTGATAGGACGTATTGGTTACCTTTCTCTTTGCCTTTAATTATTCACCAAGTGGAAAACACAAGAGCCATTCTTTTGTCTCCTTTATGCAGATGAACCCGCTGTTTTGGAGGCAGAAGACCTGGACCGAAAAGCCATGAGGCAGGGAGGCGGACTGGAGCCGGACACCATCTCCTTGGCCTCTGTCACAGCTGTCACCACCAATGTCTCAAATAAGAGGTGAGGTCCAGATGTGAGCTTATGCAAGGCAGGAGGTGAGGGCACGCTGGCAGATGCCCCACCTATGTCCCCTGAGATGGGGTGTGCTGGAAATCACACTGCCCCATGCAGCCAGTGGATTTTTGGAAATACCTGACCTGCTACAAAAAGCATCAATGTTCAGTGGTGTTCCACAGCTCCCTGGGATTATATTCAATGAGTAGTTTGAGTGGGAAGGGACCTTAAGGACCATCCAGTTCCACCCCCGTGCCATGGGCAGGGACACCTCCCGCCAGACCAGGTTGCTCCCAGCCCCATCCAGCATGGCCTGGAGCACTGCCAGGGAGGGGGCAGCCACGGCTGCTCTGACACTCCTCAGATTCAAAGAGGGCAGGAGCTTTGGGGGGTGGTCCTGTGAATACTCTGTCACAGCTTGCAGCAAGTCCACCTGTGGTTTGACCGAGGGTTTCTCCTGCCCCTCCAAAGGTCCAAGCCTGACATCAAAATGGAGCCGAGTGCTGGGAGGCCAATGGATTACCAGGTAGGTGACAGGTTTGTGCCCCCAACCTCAGCTCACGGAGGTCACAGCCCAGGAGGTGGAGGGACTGTTTTGCAGGGAACAAGTTCATGCTGGGTTTCTACACGCTGCACTCACAAAGCATGGCTTCCCAAGAGCTGGCGTTTAAATTGTCAAGCGATAAGCTTGAGATTAAGTAATTAATTGGTTTTGCTCTCCATCGTGTGAAGGCCCGAAAAGCCCGAGTTGATCTGTGATTGAAACGGGCTATCTCCAACATTTCTCCTACTCCCCCAGAGCTTTCAGTATGCTGTTTGGTATTCAGGATTGGTGAGCGCTGGCTGGCGGCAAATTGCTCACTGGATTTCCTCGGGCAGGCTGGTACATGGCTGCTGTGCTCCTGTTCAGTGATGCTCTGGTCCTGCCACTTTATCTAGAATTAGAAGAACCACAGGTTTCATTGCCCAAGGCTCAGATAATCCATGCTGCTCCCTTTTCTTTTACTAGCTGGTGCCAGAGTGATTCATAAATAGGCTCCTCTTCCCATTTCTGCCAGGTCGTGCTGATTCAGCAGCGGTTTAGCTGGATGTCCTCACCTCTGAGCACCGCAGCATCCATTGGAGCAATGCAAATAATTATTTTTGTTAGAGATTTGTTGCAGAACACTCGCAGCATCCGCTGCAGACCAGATTGTGAGGCTTACAGGGATTGAGTGCGCTTGGTTCAGGAGGGGGGAACATAAAGAGGAGGAGGAAGGTGCAGAACAAATTATAACCAAGAGGCAGAAGGAACAGCAGGTCTGGTTATTTGGCCTCTGCAAACAGGAGGTTTGGTTGGCGTTAACGGGGAACGGCTCACTCCTGGAGGATAATGGGATTGGCAGCGCTAGGCTGGTTGGTGAAGGAGGTGCGTGCCCAGACGACCTCCGTGTGTCTGCTTTGCTTTGGCTTCCGTGGAACAGCTGGGAGCTGAGAGGGAAGGACTTGATCTTCCAGACCCCATCCCCGGGAAAGCCCAGGACAACCCCTTGGTCTGTGGCAGCAGAGGGGATGGGAAGCTGGGACAGCGTTAACGAAGGATCGTGCCCACCAGAGTCACCTCCAGGAGCTGATGTGGATCAGGGGGCTCTGCTGTCCTTTAGCAGCTGCCTTTTAGGAGCACTTCAGAATAGAGTATTTCAGCTTAAATTATCACAGCACCCCAGCAACTCCTGGTGGTTTTTTCTTTTCTTTTTTGTTTTCCTTCTTTTTTTTTTTTGACTGGAACCTGAGCCTCTTTTAAAGAAATCTCATTGAAGCCCAAGCCTCTTAATAGGTTACAGAAATGAAATTTCCCCAAATTTACCCATAAAGATAATAGATTAATTTTTAATAGATTTCTATTTTCCATTGTTATATGATTTAAGATAAAGCTGAGTTCAAGTTACAAAAACAATTAATGATGGCTAGAGAAGGCACGTGTAAATGAACTCATCTGTTGGGCTTCAAGGGAGCCAGGACTGAGAGTTTATCTTAATTTAAAATAATATTTTTAAAGGACCCCCAAATTCACTGTGATTTGAAACCTGGAAGTTACCTGCCCTACCAGCAACTTGTGATGGATTTTAAAGATGACTGTAGAAAAATGGCTGCTGGAAATTGAAAAGATTTGTTACCTACATGGAATTACACCTTATAGTTCCTATTCAAGTTAAGAAATTTGGGTATAATCTAATCAGGATTTCCTAATGTGAATTTAACACTGCAAGGAAGGATTTTACATACGACCCCAATACCTAATAGTAACTTAATGTCACAAGGTGGGTTGAATTGTGAGTAACAAACTTCTGTATCATAAATACATGCGTTTCATCTGGATGATTTGCTCATATTCTATTGAAAGCAGTTTATTTTTCATATGCTACATACAGAAGTACTTAATTGAAATAAAACAGCAGGTGTGTATGCATGCATATGGGAGGGCTGAACCACGAAATGGTAGGGCATACTCCAGAAATAGTGAAGAGTAGAGCAGTATGGAGCAGAATAGAACAGTTCTGTTGGAAGGGACCTACAATGACCGTCCCTTTAAGGGTTGAGGCAGCGAGTGGCATCTGATGCTGCTCTCAGGAGGTGAAGGCCCACAAATCCCTCTCCCCAGGTCAGCATCACCATCATCGAGGCCCGGCAGCTTGTTGGGCTCAACATGGACCCCGTGGTCTGCGTGGAGGTTGGAGAGGAAAAGAAATACACGTCCATGAAGGAATCGACCAATTGCCCGTACTACAACGAGGTGGGTCTGTGCTCCGGCGATGCTCATGGCTGCCCGCTCCTCCGGTGATGGTCACGGCTACATTGCTGTTAGTCAATTAAATGTAATTTCTTGCCACTTGGGGTTTTTAAATTTTTTTTCTTCTGTCACCACTTGTCAGAATAAGATGAAATCTCAAACCACAGAGAAGGGGAAATGAAGCCTTTGCCCTCTGGTATTTTGCAAAATGGTAAAAAGCCCACTTGCTTGATAGGTGCTAAACTATTCTCATTTTTTTCCCAAGAAGTTAGTGCTTCCTTCTAGTTCCTCGGACTGCAGAGGCTGTCAGTGCTGGGGCTCACACGGATCCGTGACGTGTGCTCCAGGATGCTCCTTCAGGCAGCCACAGCTTCTCCAGCTGGATCGTGCACCGTAGCACTGCCTTTCAGCCCAGAAGGAGCCCACCCCGGCTCTCCTGCCTTCACGACTGCTCTTTACCTTTCAGTACTTTGTCTTCGATTTCCACGTCCCCCCAGATGTCATGTTCGACAAGATCATCAAGCTGTCGGTAAGTGAGCATGGTTGGTTTTATTATTTCATGGGGCTTTGGAAGCAATTGGCCCGTTTTGTGCATGCGCCGGGGATGGATTGAAGTCCTTGATGTGAGACCCCCAACAGGAGCTGAGGTGTTCGGTCCTACGAGCCTCACCTCTTCTGCAGACCCCTGCTCCCTCTTTCTGTCACTGACCTTCATTGCTGGGGCCACACAGCTCCGCTCCTGCATTCGCTGTCTCCCTCCATGGCTGACCTCTGGTATTTTAGAGCCAGGCAGACCTAAACCTGTCTTGGGATGTGTTTAGTCTCGGGGAGAAGAAAAACCTTCCCGAGCCTGCCAGAGGATTTCCTGAGGCGTGGGACTGGCAGAGCTGTTGTGGTAACTGAGGACTGCAGATGCTGAGAGCAAAGCAGAGACTGCAGCCCTCCCCACAGCCACAGAGGAGGACGATGACAAGATGTGCAGATTCACTGACCCAAGCACGCTCATTAGCAGTATCCATATCCATCCCACGCACGGACCGGCTGTACGGTTTCTCCCACAAAGGGAATTAGAGCATAGATTTCGAGCTAAGGATCCTTCCTTCAGGTAAATGTCCCAGTGTTTGTTGCCCTAGTGGCTTAACCTTGTTCCAAAGATTAATTTCTTTGTGGTTTTTTTCTATTCAATCCAAGTATATGCTTGCTTGCCACACTGCTAGGCAGGAGCTGCCAACCCCGCCGTGCCTCTTAGTGTCCTTATGCAGACCAAGGTCCTGCACAGACCAAGCAAAATGCATCAGCTCCTTTCCTGTCTGACGCCGAACTCCTCTGGGAAGAGCCTGATGGCTCCCAGGGCAGGGAAAAAAAGTCTGACTCGTTTTCCCCTCTTGATTTCCAGGTGATCCACTCAAAAAACCTCTTGCGCAGTGGGACTTTGGTAGGCTCCTTCAAGATGGACGTTGGAACCGTTTATACCCAACCTGGTATGGAAACGCTGTTTGCAGCCAGTCCTATGTGCACCATGGTATAAATGTCCCTGCAGGGTAGCTGGGCAGGTGACAGCTTCCTTGGGTGATGCTCATCTAACTTAATTTTAGTATCCTAGCTGTAAGCAAGTCACCTGGGCTACGCTCTGCAGTCAGGAAAGAGCACGGAGAAGGTTGTGTGTCCCATCCTGAAATACGATGTTGCAGCCAGAGGCTGAGGTGCCCTCTGGCTGTGCTGGTCTCTATCCACCGACCTGCTGAGCAAGGAAGCCCAAGGCGATCTGCTTGGGCGAGATATCAACCTTCCAGATAGCTGAAGGTCACGGGCTGGATCTTGCCCTCTGTGGCTGGCATTTAAACCAAGATAGGAAGGTGCCTGGTGTGCAGTGGGAAACCGAGCTTGATTAGAGCTGCTGTTGTGTCACTCGCTGACAATAAAGAGAACAGCGATGCCCACTTGAGGGCCTGGCGCCCGCAGCGTACCAGAGCTGAACACACACCACCCCTTCAGAGAAGATACCTCCAAAACCACTGCGGGTTTTTTTTACCTTGCTCCTATGTCGCGCAGCGTTCTGCCTCTATACGTAATCCTGAGAGCTAAGATGTAAATGAAGCCTCCATAGTCTGCACTTCAGGGCTGGTCAGCAGATGATGAGGGGGACCTTAAGGGAGCGTCTGGTCTGGTTCCCTGCTCCACAGAATGATGAGGTCTTTCTGTCACCATCCAAAAGGCATGTGAGGCCTTAAAGACTTAGAATCGTTTAGGTTGGAAAAGATGCTTAAGATCACTGAGTCCAACCGTTAACTTAACGCTACTGAGTCCACCTTTAAACCATGTCCCTGAGCGTCTTGTCTACGTGTCTTTTAAATATCCCCAGGGATGGTGACTTGTAGTGATGGAGACTCCACCCCCCTTCAGACAGTTTATCCCACTGCTTCTCTGTCTCCAGCATGAGACACACCTTCCTAATGGATTTTTCAGGGGCTTGTGACTGAATTGCTCACACCTGAAGATGTCTCTTACACATACGTGCAGGTCCCCCCACTCAAGCGGAAGGACATTTCCAGTCCTTGTGGCAATTGCCGTGTCTCATTCTAATAAATGACTGTCTTGTCCCTTGGCTTCCAGAGCACCAGTTCTACCACAAATGGGCCATCCTTTCTGACCCTGAGGATCTCACCGCCGGGCTGAAAGGTTACCTGAAGTGTGACATCGCAGTGGTATGGAAAGGAGACAACATCAAGACACCACACAAAGCCAATGAGACGGACGAGGATGACATTGAAGGGTAAGGGTCTTCAGAGACAGCTTCATGTAGTCTTGCTTGGGAATGACTTTTTGTTGTAGAAATGACACCGGTATCTGCAAGTGCAACCACAGGCTTTCAAGTCTACCTCTCAGCCTCTCGCTGCAGAGTCAGGAACCCAGCCTAGCAGCAAAATACTAGTGCAGCTTTCTTGACTTGCTGAGAACCAGTGGGCTCAAGGCACTACCTGAACTATGCTGGGCCAGTGTTCCATGCTGTCATGGTAATACTATCCCACTTTTTCAGCAGCACCAGCAATCCCTCTAGAAATTCTTTTGTCCACAGCATCCCCCATGGCTCTCATTTCTTCCTGCAGAAGAAGACAAATTTGGTGGAGCTCCCCTTGTACCCTGATAAAGAAAAAAAGCTCTACTAACATCCCATTTGTCTGGCCTGCTTTAGATGTCTAAATTAGGCTGAGCTTAATTGTCCCCTAAACTCTACTGACAATAATAGTTCTATCCCTTTACCAGAATGCACTTTGTCCCAGGGTCACCTTAAGGGGCTCCTCTAAGACTTTGCTTACAAAACCACCACTCCCCACCCCAAAACAGGAGGATGAGGCAGAAACAGAACAGTGATAAGATGTATGGCTGCAGAAATGGTCATCTTCCCACCTCCACAGAGCCTCTGCTCAGAAAGTGGGGCAGCTTCTCCCTCTGCATTCAGCCTCTCCTGACAAACCTGCCAGCCCCAGGGGCTGTTTCCAACCCTGTCTGTTGGTGCTGCAGGAACCTCCTCCTCCCGGATGGGGTCCCTCCGGAGAGGCAGTGGGCTCGTTTCTACATCAAGATCTATCGAGCGGAGGGACTGCCCCGTATGAACACCAGCATCATGGCCAACGTGAAAAAGGCCCTCATTGGGGAGAACAAGGACTTGGTGGACCCCTACGTGCAGGTGGTCTTTGCAGGGCAGAAGGTGAGCAAATGGCTTGCGGTACCAGGGTGACCCTGGGAGGTAACGTGAGCAGGACCAGCCATTGTACAGGTGGCCAGAGGTGACCTCAGTTGTCCTGGCATGTAGGTGCTGAGATGGCTGCTACGTTTTCCCTCTCTTGTGCAGACTATGATGGGTTTGCAGCACTCCTCATCTTGTCACTTGGGAGTGAGGCAGAATGCACATTTCAGTGGTCGTTGGCAGGGGGGCAGCTCAGACTGTGAGGGATGGCCTGGGACCTCAAACCCTTGTCTAACATCTGTCTCCTCCCACTCGGCAGGGTAAGACATCCATACAAAAAAGCAGCTACGAGCCTCTCTGGAACGAGCAAATAGTCTTCACAGAAATGTTCCCCCCATTGTGCAAGCGGATTAAGATCCAGATCCAAGACTCGGACAAAGTCAATGACGTGGCCATTGGTACCCATTTCATTGATTTGCGGAAGATCTCTAATGAAGGAGACAAAGGTAAAGCAGAGGTGGGGGCCGACTGAGCTACCTTCTTCACGGTACAGAGATAATCCTTTGGCAGAGAGTCAGCAAAATAGCCTAGGCTCCTTCCCCACCCCTGGAGACAGCTGCTTCTTGGTGCCCAGCCGGAGAGACCTTGATCCACTGCAGTGCTCTTCTGAGGTCACTGGGCTTTTTGCCACCAAGCCCTGTCACAAGCCTCCAGTGTACCACTTGAAAGCAAAGACACCCAAGAACGAAAAAATGCATTGCCATGAATGGATGAGTATCTGACAGGCTCCCCCATTTACTCCCACATGAACACACCAGCATACGTAGGCAGGACCAATGTGAAACCAAAGGCGGCTCTAGGAAGGGGACTAATAGAGGGGTGTTTCTTTTCTCTTGACTCTCACATTGGGTAGCTTGCCCAGTGTATGGTGGCAATTGTGCATTTCCATGCCCACACACGTGCACGTTCAAGCCTGCTTTGCCATACACAGACCAAGAAAGTCATGCCAATCCATGAGTGAATCTGTACCCTGAAGCAAAGGCATGCCCTTCTCCTTGCCCGCCCCCTTCCTTACGCACGTGTCTGATCTGCTGCAGGCTTCCTGCCCACCTTTGGCCCCGCGTGGGTGAACATGTACGGCTCCACTCGGAACTACACCCTGATGGATGAGCACCAAGAGCTGAATGAGGGTCTGGGTGAAGGCGTCTCCTTCCGGGCCAGGCTTTTGATGAGTCTCGCTGTGGAGATCTTGGACACCAGCAACCCAGAGATCAACAGCTCCACCGAGGTGCAAGTCGAGCAAGCCACATCAATTGCTGACGTAAGTCACCCCTAACCCTACAGCTGCCAGTGGTGAGTCTTGGGTCTCAGGCCTCTTGGTTAGTTGTCTTTGGTCTCACAAACCAAGGATTTCATTTAGTGTTGCCCTAAATGTTCTGGATCCTGGGGTATCCAGAATGAATGCAAGTCTTGCAAGGATTTTGTGTTTATGATCATTCAAACGCCCACCTCTCTTAGGAGTGCTGGAAAGAAGGAACACCTGAGTGAGGGAGAATCCTAATTTTTGAGATGTTTCTCCAGTTGGGAGTTAGACAAGGATAAAGAGAGACGTCTCCTAATGCCAGCTGTCTCGCTCCTACCCTGAAGATGGGTTTCAGACAGAAGCCAAGAATCTAATCGTATTTCCCAGCCAATTCTGGCAGAGTGAAACTGGTCAGAGAAATAGAACGGCTGTTTCCTGACAAGAGAAGCCCCCCAGCTTCAGTCCTGACATGTAGAGCCCACAAGGCTCCTGCCTGAGCTCTGCATGAACCTGGGGATGCCTACATATGTCAATCCATAAGAGCCAAGAGTGTGAAGTAGAAATGGAGAAGCCTGGTGACAGTGCACCCTCTGTGTGAAAAGCTCTCCTTCAGAAGTAAAATGCCCTTAATTCACCTCCAGGGGAAATGAAGCGACCTGGAAATAAAGCCATTCCAGTTCTGAAAGAGCATCCAGGCAGATGGTTTGGGATGGTTTAAGTCATTCAGCATGTGAGCAAATGCGGAGTCATGCTCCTGAATGTCCCTTAGACAGTCCCTCACGTGCAAGGGGTGACTGATCTCAACACATTTAAAAGTTGGGCTAAATCTCTGCAATGAGCCTAGAGGCAGCTCTGGCTTGGGGAGAGAAAGCCCTCGTGGTCCCCTTGAAAGCCTGAGCAGTGACATCTGATCTTCAAAAAGCCCATGAGGGTGCTTAGAGGTGCCAGGTGATGCACCCCTCTACCCAAGGGCACCTGCCCTCTTCGGTGTCCCTCTGGCTGACCTCAACCTGGATCCGCATGATTTCTCCTGCAGAGCTGCACTGGGAAGATGGAGGAGTTCTTTCTCTTTGGAGCCTTCCTGGAAGCTACCATGATCGACAGGAAGATTGGTGACAAACCCATCAACTTTGAAGTCACAATAGGTTGGCTGCTTGTTCGGGGAGGGTGGTTTTGAAGTGTGCCTAGTGGGGAATGCAGGAGCCAAGGCTGAGCATAGAGTTTCTTCCCCATTTTCCATACCAACCCATGCTAGAGCATGCAGGGCTCTCAGTTGAGGGAGAACTTGGTGGCTACTTTATTGGCACAAGCCATGTGGGGCCCCAAAACATCTATTGTCTGCACGCTGCGCCGTGCCCAGTGGAGCTGCTCCCTCTCTCACCCAGGCTTTGTGCCTCCTGGGGCTGACCACCAAAGGGAGGGTATGTGTTCCTACTGGCTTGAGAGAGGACATGAGCCGGAGTCATACAACCATCACTAATTTATGGTTGCTGGGCATGGTTTCAGAGAGTTGGACTCCACTATCCCCTACTGTTCCTGCAGAGAAAACTTCTTCCCAATCTGAACTAAATCCAAGAGATTGAGCCCGATTGGAGTTACAATCCAATGACTTTATTTCACTTTTTTTTTCTTGAGGTAACTATGGGAATCAGATCGATGGCATGACCAAACCCATCCCACGGCGGAAGAAAGAGGGAGGGGATGGGGATGAGGAGGAGTCTGAGCTGCTCCAGAACTCAAGTGAGGATGAAGGTGATGAGGATGGAGAGCTGGTCTCTGTTTCTTCATCTCAGCCCATGAAGCCCCTGGTCACAGACAGGTAAGCATGCCCGCCTGGCCACTGAAGTGCCTCTGGGCAGAGAGGTGGCTCTCAATCCAGGCATGGTCTGTAGGTGTTTCCACAGGCACTGGGTGTCCGAGCTCCCAGCGCTGTCTGCAGAGCTGCAGTCAGTGCCGTCATGGGGCCTGGAGTCATTCGGCCAAACGGATCTGGGAGCAGCAGCGGGAACCAGATCTCCATGCCCTGTTCAGGGAGATCAGACACCCCGTGTAGATACCTTGTCTTAGATACTACCGTCTGCCAGCTGAACCCCCACCCCATTCCCTGCGGTTCTGCGCATTCCTGTGGATTCTCTGATGTCCAGCAAAGGCTGAATTCACCTCCCAGGCTACCCTACAAAGGACATCCTTCATCCACCTGGCCAGATGTGCACCCAAAACTCCAGGCTACCTGACGTGTTTAGCGCTCTCCCTCTATGGCAACTAGGGATGAAGTTAACCAGTGGATTCAAAAAATCATTGCTGGGTACTATCAAAACCAGCTTCACTCCCGTACATACAAGTTTATTACTTTTCATTTAGGAAACCAGCCTATAGGCAGGGGCTTAAAAAAAAGCCACCTTTGGCAGCACAACCCAGCACTGCACATCAGGGAGGAGAGGTCTGGTCTTTACATCTGTGATGGTCACGTAAAAGGGTAACGAGTTTGGTACGTGGCTGAGGGAGGCCCTCCTGTTGAGCTGGTCAGCCGTTTCTGTCTAAGCATACAAAGAATGGGGAGACCTTTCGGCAGAGTCACGAGGTTCAGAGTGGAGCCCCTTGCTCTCTAAGCTCCTCCTCAGAGAGAGCCCTAGGTGCAGCTAGATCCACCCTCCGTCCCAGACTTGGTCAACAGTTTATGACTAAGGGTTGTATGTGCGTAGCCACTTATTAGGGTCAACATTTGCCTGTTTCACAGCCCTGCCTGGGACTTTCAGTGAGACAGATGCACGAAGTTGCAAAGATGGGTAATTTACGCACAGATAGAACAAGGTCGGAATTGCCATTGATAAACGCACTCGCTGCAAAAATCAAGCTTGAGTTAGTAATACAGCGGGTTTTTTTACCAAGTAACTTCCGACAGAGTTGGAGGTGTGAGTCTTACCAAAGAGGTGTCCCTGCTTGGGGAGGAGAGAGGCACAGCTGGTTGTCAGTGGACAAACCACTTCTGTTTTCTCTGCCTCAGTTTCTCCAGCTACAAAACTATGTCTGTTTTTTTTTTGTCTGCTTTACGAATTGCTTTGTGATGTGCAGGTAGCAGCCACCCTGAAATACAGGCGAGATCCAGACAGTTACAAGTCTGATTCTCATGGGTGCTTTCCACCCCAAGCAGCTGGATCAGAAAGCCCCAAACTGAATGGGATCAGCGCACATGTCTTGGGATGGCTGGGCTGGGCTTCAGCCACAGCCTGGATTTGAATACAAAGGAGTAGTACTAAGGAGAGCTAATTGGATTTAACCTGATGAGATATGCTTAAAGTGGATTTTAACCATGTTATGCCAGTAGATAGATGTTAATACAATTAACCGGCTGACTTAATTCATTTGGGAAGAGGAACAAACCACACTGCACCGAGGGTATCGTAGAACATATCAATATCTATGGTACTTGCACTTCAGATAAAAGTACCTACCTGGGGTTTCCTCTCTTGTTCAACAGCTCCTTGTCAAGGTAAATGCCAAAAGGGTATGAGAAGCACCCGTGTTTTTTGAGCCTGTCCTCTGGGCTCTGACTCTCAGGCTGTTTACCCAGATATCTCCAGCCCCTGGGTGCTGGGAACCTCATGCTCAGCCATGCGGCTCTGCTGACATCTTCTGGCTGGAAATACCCCGATGGCTTTGGAAGGATGAAGCTGGTTTTGAACTAAGGGTGATCCCAGGTGCAGCAGGGCTGCAGTGGCTTTACCCTGGGTGGATCCCAGCTCATGGCCAGTGCTCAGGCAGCCAAGAAGCACGAACCTGTGCTTCAGCCTCATCCTTCCTTTAACTGTACCGTGACTGTTACCGCTCCATCCCATCAAGTGGAGACCTGGCACCTCTGCAAAATGCAGAGGTCTCTGCCTGCTGTGAAGGCCAGGAGACTGTAGGAGATGCTCACCAGCATTCAGAAAAAGGTGTTGAGGCTTCGGCTTCCCTCGTGCCCCTGCTCACGCTGCTGCCACGCTGGAGAAGTTTGCTCTCTGCTGGGCTGTGGGTGAGGCCGTGGCAGTGGGAGCTTCCCCGGTTTCTCTCTGGGCCACCAGGTCTGAGATGGCAAATTTGCAATCCCTGGGCACTGCAGCCATCCGCCCCAGGTCTGGCGTTGGGAAGGGTGCTAGGAGAGCTGGAGCCTGTGTCCTTCAGGGTGCAATTCACCTCAGCTGCCTCTCTCCCACTCCTGACCTGTACACCCACCCACCCCGCCGCAGCGTTGCCTCCCCAGGAGAGGTGTGGGACAGGGGCAGCTCCTGGCCAGGGGAGTTACCACCATGGAGCATCTCTCCTGCCTCCTCTTGCAGGAACTACTTCCACCTGCCGTACTTTGAGAAGAAGCCCTGCATCTACATCAAGAGCTGGTGGCAGGACCAGCGCCGCAGATTGTACAACGCCAACATCATGGACAAGATTGCAGACAAGCTGGTCAGTACGTGCTGGGAAGGGAGGGAAGGAGACAGCATGGGGCAAGGGGCTGGCATGAGGCATATCCAGGCTCCCCACGCATCGCTACAGCTTGTCACAAAGTGGGGACAAACAGTGCAAGGACCCACTAGCAAATCTGTGCCAGAAAGGGAGAAGTTTCTCAGCCCTGAATGCTCCACAATTTGAACATCCAAATCCTCAGAGCTCGTTCAACTTTCTGTGGGTCAGACCCAGGGGTCTCCACCGAAGGGAGCAGGAGCAGGGAGTGTTTGTCCTGCTGGACTGCAGGGGAGAACCGCTTGTGTGGCAGAGCCTCGTTAGTAGTATCAGCTAATTCCCAAGGAGCCTTTGTGACAGCTCTTGGCGGGGTCACGGCAGGATCTGCAAAGGGAGAGCCTGGCAGGTCCAGCCAAGACAGTGTGGATCTTGGCCAACTAGTCTCACGGAGGGCGGTGGAGCCATTCCTGTCACCCAGAGCCAGGTCCCCTCAGCCAAATGTGTGCCAGACCTCAGCCCCGAGGCCGGCAGGTCTGGAAAAGCAGCAGATGTTTCCCACTAGCTGCTCTATGCAGGGTTGGACCTCGGGGGGGGACCTTGCCCCACCGCAGGGCTGTGCCCCAGCACCTCCTCACCGCTTCCCCCGTTCGATGCTGCAGGAGGAAGGGCTCAACGACGTGCAAGAAATGATCAAGACGGAGAAGCCTCACCCGGAGCGGCGGCTCCGAGGGGTCCTGGAGGAGCTGAGCAGCGGGTGTTTGTGAGTAAAAGACGGGCAAAGGTGGCACATTGCAGACCCCTGCTCTCTGGGGGGCTATGGGCAAGGTCATGAGCACGAGCTGACCTTGCTTTGTCCTCTGGATGATGGGCCAGCACTTAGCTGCATTGGCACAATGCCGTATCAGATGCCTTCTGGCTTGGAGCGAAGGTGAGATGGTGCTTACATCTGCACCCCAAAGACCCCAAAACAGTGGTCAAAGCCTCAGTCTTTGGCCTCCACAGGCTGTACCTGATCGGTGTCCATTCCCCACGCGTGACACTCTGTGTTGGGCGCAGACAGGCCACTGAGCCACGATTGCATTGCAGCCTGGGGGGAACGAGGGCATCTTTCTCCAGTGAGGTGCTTTCCTGCTGCCAGAGATTTGTCTGGCCGTGGCTCCTCGGGGAGAGCCCGCAGGCTCCCGCAGGATTCATGCTGCCGACCTTTTCCACCAGGCGCTTCGTGACGTTGGCAGACAAGGACCAGCACCACTCTTCCCGCACGAGGCTGGACCGGGAGAGACTCAAGTCCTGCATGCGGGAGCTGGTAAGTGGGATTAAGCCAGGCAGGGAGGGGGGTTCACGAACCAGGGCTGGACCTTGTCAACGCAATAAGGAACTTCGGTCCTTAGGCATGCTGATTTCTAGGGTTTGGGGTTTATTTCTGAGTAGAGGAGCACTTGGGTCTTGCAGGGGCCCCAGGTGGCACTTGGGTCCGTGCTGCTGCCTCCCCTCTGCCACACTCTGCTTTGCCTCCGAAAGAAATCCGGGAGTACAGGGATCGAGCTGCATTGCTGAGGAAACTGGGAAGGAGTATTTTAGGGGAATCCTGCAGAGCACAGCTGCTCCAGGGACAGATATGGCCTGGATGCGTGGGGCTGGCAGCCCAGCTCCTTGCAAAGGAGTTGGATGTGCAAAAGAGCTGTACAAAGAGCAGCTGGCTTATCCAGCTGGCACAGCCAAGGACACCGGCTTCAGTAGCCAGCTGCATACAAGAGAGCGATGGATTTAACACGTGAAAGCCTCCACGTCCCCTTTTCTGAACGCTCAGGTCCTGAATTACAGCAGGGTCAGCAGAAGGGGAGAGGCTACCTGTTACACTAGGCTAGAAGCCACCCCAAATTGCCCTAAGTACGGCTGACACCTCTCTGTCCTGCACACCTTCCACTGGGACAGAGGTCCCTGCACTGTCAGGGGCTCTCCCTGCCTCCTGCCAAGGCTGATGAACGGTTGTCAGAAGTACCATCACCAGGGTGCACGTGGTGGGATTAAGGGCATCTGCCTCCTCACAGCCCCTTCCCAAACACCAGTGACCTGCCTGATGCTGCTCCCTTCTCTGTGCTCCATTTTGCTCTTGCTCAAGTGATGTCCTGGGCTCTCCTTTAACCACAGGAGAACATGGGGCAGCAAGCCGCGACCCTGCGGTCGCAGGTGAAGAAAAACACCATGAAAGACAAGCTGAAGCTGGTGCAAAACTTCCTGCAGAAACTCCGGTTCTTGGCGGACGAGGTGAGTCCCTCCGCACGCAGAGACAGTGTTAGCTGGGTCAGCGCGTGGGCACAGCAGCCTGGGAAGGATGGAGCCCTCTCTGCAGACCCTGTAGGCAGGAGAGGTCCCCAGCAGCACAGGTCTTGTGCAAGGGGCCATTCCAAGGCTATGCGCTGCCCCACACATCCCAGGCTTGCCTGTGAAGTGCTAAGCTGGAATGAGCCGGTGCTAACACAAATTTTGGAGCCCTTCCCAGCCGGGTACAGAGCTGAATCCCCTTGCAGCTGAGCTGAGGGCATTTCTGCCAGCCTCAGCCATGGCCAGGCCGTGAGGTTCCCCAGGAGGACAGTCGTCGGAAGGTGGCATGTGTCCACGCAGCGTTCAAGGCAGCAGCAGGGAGCTGTTTCTGATCCTGGCTAGGTAGGGAGCTGCTAAAGTAAGTGGCTCTTCAAGGGGCTGTGGGATAAAGCCCCGTCCTCTCACAGAACTCCAACCACCTGATTTTTCTTGCTGCAGCATATTCTTGCTTCGCTCCAGCTCACGGGTAAAAGAAAACAGCCCGATACCTTAGAATTGCTCGCAGCACTTCCAAAGGGGTGCTGTATCTGGAAAGTATTTTTTTTACTTTCTTCAGAAAAATACACCATTCCTCTGATATTTTTACAGTTTGGGACTGGGTCAGCCCTCGGGGGTTATTGGCCCTCACGGGAGCTGTAGTTGTGGCACCTCCTGTTCCCATTGCCCATGGCAGGCTCCCAGCCTTGACTGCATGTCCTCGGTCACAGCAAGGCCTTCCTCGGCTTTGACTCACCACAGCAGAACATAAACCAGACTGCAATCTGTGAAGGGACCTGTCTGGGCAGGGAACCTCTTCCATAGTGAGGAATGGAGGTACTGCCCCTGCCCTACAGTCCCCATGGCCACTGAATAAAGAGGGAAAGAAAATCTTTAGTCTTCTAACTGAAAATTATTTTTTTAAACTAGAACAAAAGTAAATCCCAGTTTCTTCACCCTCCTGAGCTTAACTCTGAACAGCTTTTCTTAAGTAGACAGGCTTCTGCAGTGAGGGGCTCAAAACCATTTCCATGGCCCTAATGTGACAATAGGTACATCCGTCTTCAGTGGCATCTGTTGAATTTGCCTTCAGAAGGTCTCCAACCCCGCTGGTGCCTCAGCGGTCAGAAAGAGCTGAGACACTGACAGGGCTCTTTGTTGGTGTTCACAGCCCCAGCACACTATTCCTGACATCTTCATCTGGATGATGAGCAACAACAAGCGCATTGCCTACGCCCGTGTCCCTTCCAAGGATATCCTCTACTCCATTGTGGATGAGGAGATGGGCAAGGACTGCGCCAAAGTGAAGACCATCTTCCTCAAGGTGACAATCTGTCTTTCCTGGGGGAACTACAGCGAAGAGGAGGGAGATGGAGGAAGGACAGACTGGGAGGATGGGAGATGATGAGAGCTGTGTATCCAGTTCTGCTGGGGCTTGAATACTAGGCAAACCAGACCCATACTCCACTGATAGGGGTGGAAGTCTGCTGCTAGGAATCACAGAATCACAGACTGGTCGGGGTGGGAAGGCACCTCTGGAGATCATCTGGTCCAA